TTCGGCATCTTGTGCTTACTTCCTTGCGTACGGATGACAGCTGCGTATGACTTACTTATTTTCTGGTGCTTTCACTTCCAGAGACAGTTGAATGCAAGGTGTAACTGCCTCGAGGGTGCTTGACCATTTCAACACAACGTGGTGCGATCATCCCCCTTGCGCGGAGCGAGTGTTCTCCACCCCGCACAACATGATCTACTCGACCACCATTATGGTTACCACCAAAAAAAAAACAGAGGTAAAAAAAAAAAAACGGCAACCTGGTTGCCGAGTTCACGAAGTGAGTTGGCTTGTTGGCGGGTGGGGTGAAGAAAACCCGTCGGGTGCTTCAAACTCTGCGGATGGCAGGACAATACTAACCCTAACCTAAGGCGGAACACTTCAAAGTTGCGGTGTCGGCAACGTACCCGAAAGGATGACTGCTGGTGTCTGAGCTTGAGGTCGTTCACGTAGGTTTTCAATCTAGAAGGTTGTTGTTCTCAAGGCAGCCTGCGCGGAAACACGCTGCAACATGGCGGTTCGTTCGCGATATCAATTGCGGAGGAGCAGGCCCTGCTTTTGTTTATCTCCTTTGTCTTCCTTCACCTGTGGCACAGGTCTTGTCAGAAATGCCTGTTGGGATCCATCATTGGGTTCGCGAATCTGCTGATCTGTTGGGTTTCTGGAGCTTTCCGAGAAAGTACCATGTGGCGTTTTTTTCGTATGAATGTAGTTGAGGGTGTGCCTAATGACGCCAACCCTAGTTTGAAGTTTTGAATCCAATGCTCTTGACGGAGAGTCTAGGAGTGTCGACGTTCAGGTGTATTGGGGAAATCTTAATCTTTTCAGCATAATATCTTGTCTACTCGGGGGGTCGGGGGGGGGTGTTGAAGCAGGTGCGGTTTGGGGTCCTTGGCGGCGGAACTATTGTGATTTTCGGCGTTTNTCGTATGAATGTAGTTGAGGGTGTGCCTAATGACGCCAACCCTAGTTTGAAGTTTTGAATCCAATGCTCTTGACGGAGAGTCTAGGAGTGTCGACGTTCAGGTGTATTGGGGAAATCTTAATCTTTTCAGCATAATATCTTGTCTACTCGGGGGGTCGGGGGGGGGTGTTGAAGCAGGTGCGGTTTGGGGTCCTTGGCGGCGGAACTATTGTGATTTTCGGCGTTTCCAATGGTGTTAGCTCGGGCGAAAGGGCGTGTGTTCGATTTGGAGGACGCCCGAGGATGTTTTTCGTTGGAGCGAAAATAAAATATTTGGCACTTTTGGTGCGCCAAACTGCCCAAATATTTTCTCTTAAAAATATATATTCTCAATAAGTATAATCCGGTGTTTTGTGCTGAATCGCTTGCTAAAGCAAGCAATGATATTCAGGTCTTCACCATTCTTCTGGGCTAGAAAGTCTCCTGCACCAGTTTCACATGCATCGACATGAATCACGAAGTCTTTAGGGAAACCCGGGAAATACAAGACAGGTGCTCTCGTAAGCAGATGCTTTATTTCGGCAAATGCCTTATCATGTTCCGGACCCCAGCGTTGCGAGACCGATTTGACTGCTTGCTTTTTCGTGACCAAGGGCACGGTGATGGCGGCTAGGTTCGCTATAATTTCCCTGACATAGTTCACCATACCTAACACTGAACGTAGTTCATTGATGTTCGTGGGTGTAGGTAAATCTAGAATGGCTTCGATCCGATCCTCACCAAGGCGTATCCCATCGGCAGATATAATGTGCCCGAGTATTTCACCTCTTTGGGTCCGAATTGTCCCTTTAAAGGTTTCAAGGTGTGCCCTGCTGCCTGCAAACCCTTGAAAGTGTTTTCCGACAAAGATAAATGACCTTCCGATGTTGATGAACAATAGATTATGTTATCCATGTATACAAGGAGGCCCGATTGCGGTCCAAAGTGAGCAAAACCCAAAGCCAGCCATAGTGCGTTGGAATAGAAATGGTGCGTTGACTATTCGGAAGGAAGGGCGTTTAAAACCCATTTTCCATTCCGTGTTACAAAGAAAGGCGGTTCTGTCTTGCTCTGCTTTGTCGGTGATGGGATGGGTAGCTGGTGGATTGCGCTCTGAACGTCACGGACAGTGATGTATTTCGCATCTGCAACGGTGGCAATGTGGCTAGCCGTTTCCGGCATGGGCCATGATTTTCGGACAAGGTGTTGTTGACCATGGTCCGGTAGTCTATACAGAACAGGGGTGTACCATCAGATTTGGCTATACTAGCGTTTCTGCGGAATCCCAGGGGCTCGCTCTTTGTTCAACGATCCCTCCCTGCTTCCTCCATATCGTGCACGCATTTGTCAATTACCGCTTGTACACGCGGATTCGCGCGGTAAGTAGTTCTGTTAACAGGGCATGTACCCGGCTCTAGGGGAAAGTCGGCTTCTGTGAGAGTGCATTTAACCAGCTCACTGGGACTTAGTGAGAAGACGGACCGGTAGCGTGTACACAGTTGTAACGCTTGCTGACGTTGCTCCTCGAAGAAGGTGGTTTGCGTGAAAGCTTTCGTGAGAGCTTTTTCCAAGTCTTCGCGGTATTTCGCGGCTTCGTCAGGGCTCGATTATACATTACTTGCTGTCTCTGCGGAAGTACCGATTTGATATGAGGAGAGATGTATCCTATAATACCAACATTTTCGCTGGCAAACGTGCTAGTCGGTTAGATGGATTGGCGATTTGAACCACTGCTCCCTTCGTGCTAGCCAATGACACACCGTACGAGCAACGACTATCCGATGGAAAGCCTGTGGTGTATCCGGTGAGGTGATGTCCTCCAAGGTGATGATGCGCGGTTCTACCAAGGCAGTTACGGTTTCTGTAGGGGGTGCCACCGTTGAGTGGATTTCTGCAGCTATTCCACTGCGTGCCGGTTTGCAACAATTCTTGTTGATATTAACCGGAACTGGTATTGCTTCGCCGTCTATCGAGCAGTTGTTTTCGCCCGATGTATTGGTTGTTGGTTTTCGAGTTATGCGGTGTGTTGCTGGTAGAGTGCAGTTTGATTGCTTGAATGACCATGTTTCTGCTGGCCAATCAAACACTCCGCGAAATGCTCCCATGATGTTGTTGTCTCACAACATGTTACCGGGGTCCAACGATGGTAGTACTAAGGGTTCTACCGGTAGGGTGATATCTCCTAGAGTGAGATTAAATCGAGTGTATCCCTTAATTTTGAGGGGAGAGTTGTCTGCGCTACGCACGGTGACCACTCCGCGGGGGTGGGGATGATCGATACTTCGGGTGGCTCAGTTCGGTGTGTTGGGAGTGTAGAGCAGCTGGGCCATGACGGGCCGTGGTCGGGGAGGGAAGTATAGGAAAACGTATTGTATTCTTCGGGGGCGTGCTCGTGCTCGTAAATCTGTCACGGCATCAAGCACGCGTCACGCTCATCACGCTCAATCTACCAAACGGATCTCTCTGATTCCCCCGCATATCATCACTGCAATTTCCGTACGTACGTCCTGAAGNTGCTCGTGCTCGTCAAACCATCACGGTATCGAGTCACGCCTTCATGCTTTCTCACACAACGAATCTCTCTGAATCCTCACCAAAAGCCTCTCACAACCAAGGAAAATATGTAGAAAGTTCCTGTTCCTCCGCATCTCATCACTGCAATATTCGTACGTACGTACATAACATCTCAACCATCATACTATGCTACGAGTATATCGAATAGCCCCCCTGCTCGTATGCATCGTCATGCTTCGGCAAAAACCAAATTCCTCTTTTACCATCTCTCCCAAAACAAACAAGAAAATTCTCAAAGCATCCAAATCTAATATCTTCCCCAAAACATGCAAGAACCCTCCCGAGTCAATCCTAAGAAAAATTCCAACACAACCCTCCAAAACAATCAAGAAAAATTCCAACACAACTAAAACTCCTCCAAAACAAACAAGAAAAATCCTAACACAACTAAAACTCCTCCAAAACAAACAAGAAAAATCTTAACACACTTCCAACACCCTTACACCTTCATCAGATTCTTTCTCTTGTACAATCTCGTCTCTCTCTTCTTCTCTCCGTTACAGAATACGAATCGACCCCAAAACATTTCCTTCACTGCAAGTTCATCACACAGTCACGGTGCAACGCAAAAGACTCCTTGCTTATAGCATACCTCCAGAAATCTGCATGCTCAAATTGCGTCGGCACATGAGTAATTGAAATGTCTTTCCTCTCTACCAGCTCCCTGATAAAGTGATGCCGTACATCGATGTGCTTCGAGTTGGAGTTCGTGATCGGGTTGTGCGCAATCTGAATCGCTCCCTGATTATCCTCGAACACCGGGATGCACGGCATACTCGCATCTGGCATCATAAAACGCCACACCTGCCTCCAGAACAACACTTCCTTCAAGACGTCGGCAATTGCCACATACTCTGCTTCCGTGGTGGAAGCGTAACGCACTTCTGCGTTCGTGAAAACCAAGTCACACCCCCCCACACACACATCACTAGCCCCCCAGACACCGACCTCCGGTCTGCCGCCTTGCTTGCATAGTCGGCATCCACAAACACCTGCATGCTCATACCTGTCACGACGCCCCTCTCAAATGTAATCCCCATCCAACTCGTCCTGCGTACGTATGTATCCTAAAATACCGAGTGCTGCCTTCCAGTGCACCATTTTGGGAGACGCGCAATACCGCGCTACTGCTCGAACTGCGTTCGCAATGTCCGGCCGTGTTTGAGTGGCCAACCACATCAGAGATCCTACCAACTCGCGAAAAGGGACATCAGCACTCGCTTCATTCACGTCAAAGTCGGAGAGCTTTTCGCTAACAGGCAGAGGCACACTCTGCCCCCACTCAACGCCATACTCTGCAGCCAGCTCTTCGGCGAACCTCTGTTGCGAAATCTTCAACAGCCCTCTCTCTACGTCTCTCTCGTAAAAGCACGCGGAGTACCACCTCAACTCTCCAAGGTTCTTCACTGGTACC